AGGCCCCATCCCGATTTTATTCTTCTCCCAACCCCCCTGTGCTTCAGTCGTGTGTTCTGTGTTTTTTTCAGTTTTCTAGTTCCTTTAGCTTAGTCACTGGTGGAGGAGACATAGTGCAGTAAATACTTTAATATCTATCTATCATCAATTCATAAATTCGGTAAATAGATTCAAGTCAATAAAAGGAACAATCAAGATATAATTTCTGTAATGATCTTTTTTTTTTCAGTTTTCCTTCACTTTGTTGACCATTGTATGTCACATCAGGTGGTTAGAAAAGAAGCAGACTATTAAAGAAATACCAAATAATCATTATTATGTATTTGTAACTATTCAAATAAGAAGAATTGTGTATCCCATGTGCTCTTTTAGGCTTACAGAACTATCTATACCCATTTTCTCTTATTTTCACTCTTGAACTTTCACCAGTAATGGGCCCATTCATGCCTGCTCCAAACTTGCTTTCTAAAGATTACAAAGATTTTTCACTCTATGATAACAAAACATGTTTTTTTAGACCCATGGGCAATGTCTGCCTCAATGGAAACCATTGTCCCACCACATAGTATTTTCTTTCTTTTTTCTTTTTTTTAAATAGAGGCATGCTTTATTTATTTGTTTGTTTGTTTGTTTGTTTGTTTATACATGCACTGGGTACATTCAGAAGCGCGCGGGAGGGTGAGAGAATTCATCAGAGCGGGGAGCAGAGCAGGCAGAAGGACCGAGGTACACTGCTGAGGGGAGCAGCGGGCTGCAGGAGAGGTCTGCGCGCCATGTGGGACCCTCCTCCAGTGGCCGGGGAGCAGCCAGGGATCGACCCTGTGCTGCAGAGGCTGCGGGCAGCTTCACAACCCAGCGCTCAACCGCTGCGCCACCGGGGAGGCCCCCACCACATAGTATTTTCATTTGACTCTAGGCTCTGGTAATTTCAGAGGGAGACCTCACTTACTAGGTATCCCCCTTCCATTTCTTGTTTTTGACCTCAGTCTGTTTTTCCTGTTTCTTTTCAATCCCATTTCCTTTAGACAAATTGAAGTATCCCATGATCTTCTGTCCCATGACTTTTATTTCCTTGAACATGCTAAAGGTGTCCAAAGTTTTATTTCTGCTCAGATCCTATCTTAATGCCTGGCATGTTCTCACTGCACCTGCAGCTGGGCTCCTCTCTGGGTATCTGGTAGTAGATCACTCAGGTCAGAAAGGCAATTTTTTTTTTTTTGTACATGGATAAATCCAAATTGCTGTTCTTAGTACAAGAAACTGATGAGGTACAACTTATTTGGATGACCCTGAGTCATTCCCGAGATATGTGTATTGAATATTTGAAAGTAAATCTATTTCACTGACAAGAATTTCTCAGATTTCTTCCAGTATATGTTCCCATATATTTTTTAATCAGGTGCACATTATTACATTATAAAAACAAAAGCCAAAGAACAGTACACATTTAATTATTAGTCTCCTGTGTAAGCATCAGTAGCTTTCCACAGTGAACTCACCTTTTCAGTGTAGAATTCAATATGTTTCAAAATTTCTGGGTGCACTCAACATTCAAAATGTTTACTCTTATCATGTCAAGTATGGGAAACACATTGATGTGATGTGCCCTATCTAGTGCTTACCTTGTTATCTCCATGTCATATGGTTTCTCCCCCAGCTCCTTGCCTGGTGTCTTGCTGTATTTTTGTACCCACTATTACAGCCTCCCTGGTGCTCACTTACAACATGTCCTAAATGTACACTAAAAAACTATCACATTGTATCAAATAGTACTAGTGGCTTTGAAGCAGGGAGTATTTTCCTTTCTTATGGTTATTAATTCATCATGATTTTAAGAATGTATACATGAGTGAAGATGGGTGTGTTGGAATTTTGTAATAGTTGTTTTGTTATGCTTTATTAGTAGATTTCTTTGAAACCATGAGGTACACGGTTGCACTTTAAAGTAGGGTGCCTGACACCAAAGAATCACCAATGTGATTCTTTGCTGTGATCAGTATCTGAGGGTCTAGCTGGTGTGAAGCCTGTTGTTGTATTTCCAGTGAATGTTGATGGCAGGAGACATGAACCAGATGAGAGTGTCACCAGGTTAAAATTAACTCTTCCTTGAAGGTTCAAGGAAAATTAGCTGTGATTGTGTTTTTTAAATCAAACAGTTCATTGCAGTTGTCAGGCAAAAATTATCTCAGCATTATAGATAAATACTGCTGACAGTTTAATGATGGGGACAAATGAGTTTTGGTCACTCATAGGGAGAACATTGTTTTCCCATCGTGGGTATGTTTTGGGCGATATGTTCCCATCTCATCAGATGTATGGTATTGCCCGACACCCATCACCAATGCCAGTATTGCCTTACTGTAGATCTTAGGCCCTGTCCTGGTTTTGTTCTCTGCACTATCCCTTTTGCTCATCTTCTAGTAGACTCCTATCTGTAGTTTTATACCCTGTGTTTGATTTGTTTACTTTTCTAGTTCCTTTGTTTAGTGACTGTGAGGAGGAGATGCATTGCAATCAATACTTTAATATCTAATCAATATCTATTCATAAATTAAATACATAGATTAAATTCAATAAAGGACACAATCAGGGGAGGTTTGCTTTATTGATCATATGAATTTTTGAATTTCCCTTCACTTTGCTGATCATTGTGTGTCATATGCAGGTAATTAGAAAAGAAGGCAGCTGTTACAGAAATACTAAGTAATCATGGTTGTGCATTGCAAACTAGTCAAACAAGAAGAATAGTGACCCACCATGGTATGCTATGAGCTCTTTAAGGGCCACAGAACTATCTATCCCGAGCTTTCCTTGTATTCACTCTTGAATTTACACCAGTAATGGTCCCACTCATTGTTTGTTCCCTGACCTCAGACTCTTATTCCCACTTGTTTTCAAAGCCCATTTCCTTTGGAAAAATTTAAATACCTCAAAATATTCTGTCTCATGTCATTTACTTCCTTCTATATTCTTATAATCCCCAGTTTTATTTTGGTACTGCAGACATCTTACCTTAATTCCTATCATGTCCTCACTCAGCCCGTGGCTGGGGCTTCTCTCACATCCCCTTGCATATGACACTAAAATGCATAGATATTAGAGAGGCATTTTTTCGTCTGGAGTTGATGCTAAAATGTTGTTCTGCTACAGGCCCTGAAGATGTGCAACATATTTGGACAGGACCCTGATATCATTCAAACAGAATGTATTTTATAAATACATGATGTCTAACACACAAGATCTGCTCAGATTTCTTCCATTATATGTGCCTAGTACTGATTTCAATCTATGCACATTATTACATTAAAGAAAACAATGTCTATATGCAGTACACATTGAATTCTCAGTTTCATGTTTACGAACACTTTTCAACAATGAACATAGGCTTTTCAGTGTAACATTCAATATGTTTCAAAAAATAACTATAAGAAAGAAAATACCAAAATCAACAAACAACTATGAACCAGAGACACTCTATGGGGGTAGGGGGTGTGGAAAGGAGGGATTGGGGTCAAAATAAGGGGGTTATAATTGTATGGAGAATATAAAAATAAAACTTAAATTAAAAAAAATAAAACAAATGAAGGGAAAAAAAAGTTCTTATTAAAAATGGATGTAGAAGGAGCATACCTAGAGATAATAAAGGCCATATATGACAAGTCTAAACCAAAAAAAAAAAAAATTCTGGGTGCACTCATCTCTTAGTGTTTTGTTCTGTCCCTTGCATGTTTGGGAAACACAGATATGTGATGTGTCCTATCCTATTGTTCACTTCGTAATCTCTGTGTGGAGCCATTTCTCCCCTGGTAACCTGCTGTGTATTTATACCCCCGTTTTAAAACCTCCCAGATGCTCACCTACAGCATATCATAAATGTACTATTACGTGGTATCAGAATTGGACTTGTGGCTTTGAAGCAAAGTAGTATTTTCCTGCATATGTTGTTGTTACTTTTGTTTTTAAAGGAGGGTTCTTGGTTTCCTGAAGAAGATAGCAAAAAAGCAAAATAATAATTTATCACCTTCATCAAAATCTGTTGGCCAAATAAACAAGAAGAGTGGTCCTGCCCTTCCAGTGAATGTGGATAGCAGGAGTCCTGACCCAGTTGAGATTCCCAAAAGGTAAAATCTATAAACTTTCCTTTCAGTTTAAAGGAATATTAGCAGTGATTACTGTGTGGGAAACAAGCAGCATAATACAGTTGACAGTCCAAGGCAAGAGAAATCTCACCCTGATCAGACTAATACTGCCAAACTATGAACTATGAGAATCACTTAGTGTTTTGCCCCTTTGTTGAGGGGACATTCATTTACAACCTGTGTATGATTTAGGGGATAAGTTCACACCTCATCAGATGGATGCTACCACAGGACACCCTCCACCATCACACCCACACTGCTTTACTATAGACCGTAGGCCCCTCCTTTGTGTTCTCACCCCCTCTAACTCTCCCACTCTCAGCCTCAATTTTTCAGCCCTATGTCCTAGATTTGTTTTTTTTTTTGTCATTTGCTTTTTTTAGTGACTTTCTGAGGTCTGTTGCTGTAAATACGTTGAGCTCTATTTACAGTGATCTACAAATTCAATTAATAGAAACATTCAGAATATTTTGCTTATAAGATTTTATAAATTTTTATTGTTCCACCATTTTGTTGTCCATTGAATGTCACAAAGAGGTGGTTTGATATAAAGTAGAGTAGTACCAAAAATACTAAATAATTCTGATTGGGTATTGCAAAATACAGCCGAAGAAGAAAATGGTCTCCTCCATGGCTGTGACACTAACCTAAGTCCTACAGAACTGTCCATCCCCTAATTTTTCTTGTGTTCACTCTGGTGTGAGAAACAATATCAGTAATTCAATTGGAGAAAAGTGAAACTTGCATAACAACAGCCATCCATCAAAAAGAGTGAACACTTTTGCATAATGGAAATCTCTCCTTCAAAATAATTTCTTCATTTGCTTCTCGGGACTTGTATTTTCTGAGGTTAAACTCATGTATCAGGTTCCCCCCAAGCATTTCTTGTTCTTCCATCTTAGTCTGTGTTTCCTATTTCTCTTCAACTGCATCCTCCTTTTATCCAAATTGAGGAGGAGCCTTAACATTCAGTCATTGATCTTCTGTCTTCTAACAAAAACATGACTGTTACTTTCTTGTATGTGCTAATGATCCCCAACTTTATATTTGAACTGCAGACCTCTCCAGTCTCACCCACAGCTCCCTTCAGCAGTGTCTTCTGTCTGTCTGCCTGTTCTGCTCCCTGCTCTGGCTCTGGTGAATTCTCTCAAACTCCCATGCTTCTGACCTGTACCCCAGCTCTTGTATAAATAAATAAATAAATCTTAAAAAAAAAAAAAAAAGAAAACAGGACCCAATGTGCTTTTTGTCACTTCATGCAAGAGATAATGGCTTACAAGCCTGTGTATGATTTCGGTGCTAGTTTCATAGTTCATTAGATGTGTGTTACCATAAAATACCTGCTACCAAGCACCCATAGTGCTTTACTGTAAACTTTGGGCCTCTCTCTCTTCTGTCTCATCACCTTACCTTCAAATAGATTTAATTCTCCAGTTATATTTCCAGTGTATGTTTTGGTAGTGTTTCCAATTCCTATTTTGGTTATTTGTGGAAAAGCTTATTGCAATAAATTTCTCAGTTTTCTATTCATAAATTCAATGAATAGAATCAATTCAATAAATAGACACATTCCAGAGACCTTTGTTGTTATTTGCAGGTATTATATGAATGCTTTGAATTGTTTGCCATTTAGTTGACCTTTGAGTGTAAATGGATGTGACTAAAAAAAGCATTGCAATACAAAAATAGTAAATAATCATGATTGGGTATTGCAAACTACAGTCAAAGAAGAAAATGGGATCCTCCACAGTCATAGTACTAAGCTTATGAGTCATACAGAACTGTTTGCCCATCCCCTAGTTCCTCTTTTATATTCACTCTTGAACTTGCACTTTTAATTTCTCCACTTACCGCTCTTCCAAACTGCCTTTGATCAGTCACCACCAAGTGTTCATTTTATCCACACATACTTTTTACACTGATGGGCTATATTTTCTTCAGTGGAAATCTCTCTCCTCCAATATCATATCTTCATTTAACTCCAGGACTCTTTTTTAAGGGGGAGAACTCATTACTAGGTGTCTGCTGTGCACTTCTCATTCTTCCACCTCAATATGTTTGTCCAATTTCTTCAATCCCACTTCCTATTTTAGGGATTGAAGTATCCCAAAATTGACTTTGATCTTTTGTCTCATGACTGCCACTTTTTATATATGCTAATGACCTCCCAAATTTTCATTATTCTTTAGACCTCTTGTCTTAATTCCTCACCTTATACACTGCACCTTAGTCTCCTCTTAGATCCCTCGGTGTTGGTACTCGAACCCACAGATATTAGAAAGGCCTATTTTTTTTTTTCTATGAGTGATGCCAAATTGTGTTTCTTGGTGGGGACCTGATGAAGTAAAACTTATTTGGCCAGGACCCTGATGTCTTTCCAACAGATGGTTGTTTTAAAAGTTAATCTATTCTCACCCATGAGATATTTCTTAGAATTTTTCCATTATACCTGTTTCATACTGTTGGACTCTTGGATAAGTCATGATACATTTTTGCTTGAAAAACACAGAAAAAATATGTCATGACTTTTCCAACAACCCAAAATTTTTCAATCAGTTGCACATTATTGCATTATAAATGGCCAGTATCACATGACACATCTTATTAGTACATTCTTGCCTAGAGTCAGTAGTATTTGGCAGTGAACTTAGATTACTTGTGTAGCTTTCAAGATATATCAGAATTTCTGGGTCACTCATCTCAGTGTTTTGATCTTACACTTTCAAGTTTTTGGGAACACATAGTTGTGATGTGCCTTATCTTTGTGTGCATGTTGTAACCTCCATGTGGAATGGTTTTCTTCCCTCTGTGTCTTCTTACCTCCTCTGCAAAGCCTCCATTGTGCTTACTTTCAGCATGCCATATATGTGCTCTTAGCTATCAGATAGTATCATGATTGCATTTCTGACTTTGCAGCATGGGGTTTGTTTCCTTGCATTTCATTTTTACTTCTTCATAAATATTTCAAAAATTAATCAATGACTAAGTTGTGGTATTTATAAAATGTTTTATTAGTCTTTATCAGAAGATTTCTTAATGAACATTAGCTTTCATGGTTTGTTTTTTAAAGTACGGATCCTGACTTGCAGAAGAATGTAGCAAAGGAAAGCCAAACTGATCCATGGTCTTCACCAGATTATGTGGGTCAAGTCAGCGAGAAGGCTGGTGCTGAACTTCCAGTGAATGTAGATGTCAGGAGATATGACTCAGATGAGAATGCCAGAAGGTAAAATCCATAATTCTCCCTCTAATTTTAAAGGATTATTGGCAGTGATTGTTTGTTTGGAAATCAAGCAGCATGGTATAGTGTGCTAGGCAAGGTACGAGAAGGCTCAACCTTTTTGGACAAATACTGCTAAAAGCGGAATAAGGAGGTCGGTTGACATTTTCTTATTTCATTGAGGGAACATTGTTTTTCAATGTCTTTTGTTTAGTTATATTGTGTAAATTGTTATATTTAATTTTACATTAAATACTTTGTTTTTTATGAAAGATTCAATGAATAGATTCATTTCCATGAATGGAAACATTTCAGAAACCTTGCTTTCTTAATTTTATAAATATTTTGAATTGGTCTGCCATGTTTACCAATTATTACCACATTGAGGTAATTAAGAAAAATTTTAGTTAATAAAAAGTCCTGAATAATCACTATTGGGTGTTGGAATCTACACTAAAACAAGAAGAGAACAGGATCCTCCACTGTCATACTTCTTAGCTAAGTCCTAAAGCACCATCCATCCTCCTTCTTATTTTCACTTTGAATTTGCTCCAGTAAATTTCTTACCAATCCCTCCTCCAAAGTTGCTTTTTAAAGATTACCGCCAATATTTCACATCACTGTTTCCGCACATACTGGTTTAGACTGATTGGCTATATTTGCCTTAATGGAAATCTCTTTACTGCAACATTGCTTTCATTTAATTACAAGTCTGGTATTTTCAGAGGGAGAACTCACTTACCTGTGTCCCTGATGTATTTCCTTTTCTTCTACCTCAGTCTGAGTTTCCTAGCTCTTCAACTCCACCCTCCTTTTGTATAAAATAAAAATCCCAGGATTCAGTCCTGATCCTCTGTCACATGACTTTTTTTTTTTTTTAGAGGCATGTTTTATTTATTTATTTGTTTGTTTGTTTGTTTGTTTTGTTTATACATGCACTGGGTACAGTCAGAAGTGCAGGAGGGTGAGAGAATTCACCAGAGCCAGAGTGGGGAGCAGAGCAGGCAGAAGGACCGAAGGACACTGCTGAGGGGAGCAGCGGGCCGCAGAAGAGGTCTACGTGCCATGTGGGACCCTCCTCCGGTGGCCGGGGAGCAGCCAGGGATTGAAATGGCGCCGCAGAGGCCGCGGGCAGCTTCGCAACCCAGCGTTCAACCGCTGCGCCACCAGGGAGGCCCCTGTCACATGACTTTTATTTCCTTGTATTTATTAATGATTCCAAAATTATATTTCCACTTCAGATCTTTTTTTCTTGATTACTGAAATCAAATCCCTTGCTGGATATCATTCTTTTTGATGGATGGTTGTTATTATGCAAATTTCCCTTTTCTCCACTTGAATTACTGATATTGTTTCTCACACCAGTTCTTCTGTTCATGTCTTCACTCTTGCAGAGTATTAGTTCTTTAGTGGCATCTCTTGTTCTGTCAATGTGTTGGGTGTCACTTTGGTTGTTATCTTTCTCTTTCTTTTGCTCCTGACATCGAATCTGATGGTCAATCTTGTCAGGTTTGCCTGACAAATATATCCAGAAGTCAATATCCTGTTACATGTTGAATCCCAAATCATCTGCTCTCTTTACTAGTGTCCGAAACTTTTATTTGGTTTCTTAGTAGCTGGCCTAAAAGATCAACAGCTGGGACTACATCAAATTAAAGAGCTTCTTCACAGCAAAAGAGACAATAACAAAAATAAAGAGAAACCCCACCAACTGGGAGAACATTTTTGCACACAACACTAATGATAAAGGACTGATCACAAAAATCTGCAAAGAGCTGATGAGACTCAACAACAACAAAGAAAATAATCCAGTCAAAAAATGGGCAGAAGAGCTAAAAAGAAACTTCTCTGAAGAGGAAATGCAAATGGCCAACAGGCATATGAAAAAATGTTCAACATCACTTGCAATCAGGGAAATGCAAATCAAAACTACCATGAGATACCATCTTACACCAGTGAGAATGGCACATATTAAAAAAACTAGCAACAACAAATGTTGGCGAGGTTGTGGAGAAAAAGGAACTCTTCTGCACTGTTGGTGGGAGTGCAGACTGGTCCATCCACTATGGAGAGCTGTGTGGAGATTTCTGGACCTACTAAACTTAGAGCTTCCACAGGATCCAGCAATTCCACTCCCAGGTATTTACCCAAAGGACACAGAAACATCAATTCCAAAGAACACCTGCACCCCTATGTTTATAGCAGCACTATTTACAATAGCTAAGCTTTGGAAACAGCCCAAATGCCCAAAAATAGATGACTGGATCAAGAAGATGTGGTACATATATACCATGGAATATTACTCAGCATTCAAAAAAGATAAACACATGCAATTTGCAGCAACATGGATGGCGCTGCAAGGGATCATGCTCAGCGAAATACGCCAAAAAGAAAAAGAAAAATACCGATGGTCTCACTCATAGCAGGAATCTAGAAAACTTAATTAAGAGACCAGGAAAATGAATAACTATAAGAAAGTGAAAATCAAAATCAACAAAAAACTATGAACCAGAGACACTTTTGGGGGGTAGGGGGTGGGAGGGGAGGGATTGGGGTCAGAATGGGGGGGTTGCAATTGTATGGGAATATAAAAATAAAATTTATTAATTAAAAAAATAAATAAATAAAATAATAACCATAAAAAATAAAATAAAATAAAATCAGTGGCCTATTTTGACATAGCAAACACTATGCTGTTCCTCTGTTTTGACTCCCTCTTCAGTCAGAGTACATGCCAATGTTCTTCAAATACAAACCAGTCCCTACACTTTCTGTTCCTCTTAGATCAGTTTCTGTGTCTCCCTGCAGTCTCTGTCTCTCACTGTCTCTTGAAATTCCATATTCTAGGGGGCCTTCCTGGTGGCACAAGGGGTTGAGCAAAATACTGTGAAGCTATCCACAGCCTCTGCAGCATGATTTTGATCCCTGGCCAGCCAGGGAGGTGACCCATATGGCACAGCAGACCTCTCCTGTCCTACCCGCTGCTCCCCTCCGCAGTGTATTTCAGTCAGTCTACCTGTTCTGTTCCCCACTCTACCTCTGGTGAATCCTCTCACCACCCCCCAACACCTCTGGCCTGCACCCCAGTTATTGTATGCATAAATAAATCTTAAAAAATAAGAATTTCAAATTTCCATATTCTGTCCCTTCCATTCTGCTCCAACCACGTTGACCTTTTCAACATTCTGTCACCCTGAAGACATACCCTTGTACTTGCTGTTGATTCTAACTGGAATGATTTATCTTCCTTATGCTTGCTCCTTTCATTCCTTCATAAAATACTTTCTCAGCAATATCTGAGGGGTTGGCCATTTTGAGTCTTATTCTTATGCCTCACCTGCTTACAAACCTCCAAATTTCCTTTCCTCTACTATAGTATACTCTATACTCTAGCAGGATATATGTTTTGACATCAAGTTCATCGTCTGTTTACTTCATTTTCAAGGGTAGGATTTTGTCTGATCTCTGCTATTATTTCAGTGCCCAAACTGGGCTGGAATATTATCCCCTGAAGGCTCACTGAGTGAATGGAGTTTAACCTGTGTGTTTCGTTTTACATTTTATACTAATTCTCACTTAGACTAAACAGTTTTGTGTGGGTCACTGGTGAAAGTCTACTTGTCAATTATATGCTCTTTGGGATTCCTTTGGCTCTCTGCAATATGCAGTATTTGCTCTATGCATCTTCTGCATTGTGGGGTTTAAGCTCAGTCGTATATTTCCTCACTTTTAAACCTTTTACTGGTATTTATGGTATTTTATATAAGGTCAAATGGATCTGATGAGTAGAAAAACTATTTATATGCTATCACTTAAAGAAGCAACTAGTAAATTATAGGAGTTAAAAAAATTCTTGCCACAGAATTATGAACCGTCAGTGTGTAAAATTAACTTACGATGTTTGTATTGTTCCCCATGGTAGGAGAAATGTATGCTGTGTGACATGGTGTTTTTGAACACAACCACCTGTTCCTCTAAATAGGCTTTGGGGAGAATGGAAATTAAGGTCTGCAGTTCAATGATTGCTGCCCCATCTGGAATGATAGCTGAAGGCAGGGTTTTCCAGCTGTTCCTGGATGCAGCTTAAGAGTGTGTGGAGCCAAGTCTTGGGCTCTGCAGGGTCCACTGCTGAGACTGGTCTGTGAGCCTGTACACACTGCAACGAAGCTGCCACCCCTCTAAGATCTCTTGGTGTAAGGGACTGGAGGACTCATCTCTCAGAAAGGCATTATGTTTTGTACATGGGTGACACCAAATTGTTGTTCTTAGAAGGGGGCCTGAAAATTGTGACTTATTTGATCATGAACCTGAAGTCAAACCAACATATAGGCATTTTCACCCCAGCCCTAGCATATTTCCTGGATTTCCTCATTCATATTGTATGTTTCTAATAGTATTTTTCCATTTACATCGTATATGGCTCATTAGTATTTCCACATCTGTGTGTCATTACTTTGAGTCAGTGAACTCTGGGTTTTAAATTTAGCATTTAGGAGTTTTCAAAATTACTGTGCTGACTTCTGTTCCAGTATTTTACGTTTTGTAATATGTTTGTTCTTCCATTTTTGTTTTTCCTGTGTCTCTTCAACCCTTCACATTTTATTTTTATTTTACAAAAGTTGTGTTTTAAATCATCATAAGTGTTTTTTTTAAAAACATTAGCTTTATTTTGTTTCTTTTTTAAAAGTAATGTTCCTGGCTTGCATAAAAATGGAGTAAAGAAGAGCAAAAATGAAACATGTAATTCAGCAGTATCTGTGGCTAAAGTAAGCAGGAAGTCTGGTGCTTTGCATTCAGTGACTGGTGACAGCAGAAGACATGAATCAAGACAGAATAATGGAAGCAATGTCTATAATTTCTTCCTGTATAGGTAAAGGAATATTAGCAGTGATTACTCTTCCGGAACTCAAACTGTATGATGTAGCTTATAGGCTAACACAAGAAAAATCTTACACTTGTCAGACAAATACTGCTGAGAGGTAACAATGAGGACCAGTCAGCTTTGGGTGACTTCACTGAAGGAACATTGGTTGACAAGCCTGTGTATGATTTAGGGGACAGGTTCCCACCTCATCAGGTGGATGTTACCACACGACCCCCACCGCCAAAGCACCCAGAGTGCTTTATCCTAGACCGCTGGATTCTCATCCCTGTTACTTTGTCACCTCCTCCTCTCCTTCCCCTCTTTTAGCCTCAATTCTGTAGTCAAATTTCTAGGGCTTGTTTTGTTAGTTAGCCAGTTCCTTGGTCAGGGACTTTTGTTAGTGAAGCAAGGAGTATGTTTTCTTGCTTATGGTTGTTACTTCATCCTGGCTTTCCGAGTCAATAAATGAAGTAGGTTAGATAAGTTTTGGAATTTTTCCTTTTTTTTAATGTTTACAATAGATTTCCTCTAAAACAGTTTCTTATGGCTTTTTAAATAGAATTCCTGGCTTGACTAGAAAAAAGAGAAAGAAAAGCACCTATGAAATGAATATGCCAACAGAACCTCTGACAGTAACACATGAGACAGCTGGTGTAGTATTTCCAGAGCAAGGTGACAGCAGGAGACATGAAAACAATCAGGATGTTGGAAGGTAAAATCTATAAATTCTTCCTGTCTTGATAAAGGAATATTAGCAGTGATTACTTTTTACTGAAAATAAAACAGCATAATCTGACATACTTACTGAGGCAAGAGAAAATGAACTTTATCTGAAAGATACTCCTGAAATGCGATAGATGAGGATGAGCGATTTTTTTTTTTATTGTAGCATCTCATTTACAACCCTGTCTATATTTTAGGTGATAGGTTCATATCTCTTCAGAATTATGTTACCATACATACCACCACCATGATGATTTAAAAAGGTCTCCTTCCATATAAGGACTTGAACAATACTTCTCAATTAGGTTTTAGTACCAGTGAAAGATTGTTTTTTATTGAAAATGACCACCACAAAAAACCCGAGAATATGTTTCCTATGAAATCATGTAAATAGCATTGATTTTCCTTTTTGTCTTTTGATTGTTAATTTGAAGTAATTTATTAATTTGTTAATATTACACTACATCATTGGTCTTTAATGTTACTCTATTTACTTAGTGTTTAATCCCTTTTTAGGAATGTATGGGTTAGAAGATTTTATATAAAAACAATAGGTTTTGATATTCTTTATATTTGGCTAAATACTATTTGCCTGAAAATAAATCTTTTCTTTTTATAGGCCTGTAAAGAAAACATCTAATGAGAAGAAGGTATAGTAAAGAATAAATAAGGACAAAAATTATTCTGTAGTAAAAATACGTTTTAAAAGATATAAGGAAAAAATAGAAAGTCTTACTTCATTATAAAAATGTTTACTTTAAAAATAATTTATAAATTATAATAACTTATGAAGGTATCCTTTTCATGAAAGTCAGTTCCTTTAAGGAGTACCTATGTTTTTGCTATTATAAAAAGGTGAATATTTATCACCTCTGTACACTTAACATATTTTCCAATAGTTACCAGACATTTTGAAATATTTTTATTTGTATGTCAAACAGGAAATCAATCCTACAGATGATTCTGATGACATAACTCAGACATCCAAAATAGCTTCAACGGGTTGTGACTCGCTTTACTCTGAACATGAGAATTGTGTGTTGTTAATGGAACAACTTGGCATGAATTATAAAGGTAGGAGCATTGTTTAATTATAAATTCTTAATACATATACTGTAGTGTCACATGCACACTTTGTCTAGTACTGCACTATAGAGCACAGATCTGTTCTCATGTTATTCATCTCAGAAATATGTTTATATTGAGATGAAATGAGAGCTATTGTTTACTTCCAGCCAAAGATCTATGAGAATCCCCATGGTAGTTTTTGTTGACTCTCCTCTCTCCTAGGCCTTTCCTTGAAGTCAGATTACCATTATTTCCCTCCTGGAATACTGAAATATCTTGAGATCTGTTTTCCCTGACGTTCTACCTCTGGAAAGTTTCTAGATCAGCTCTGGTTTTACAAGTATTTTCTTCCAGTCTGTGACTTGCCTTTTCATTTTCTTAACATTGTCTTTTTTTTAATAATCTAAATTATATTTAATAATATAACATTTTTAGTAAGTCAACAACAAACAGGCTTTAAGTCCAAGACATAGCTGTTTTGTGATAGTAACAAATGATAGAAGGAAACTTCAAAAAGACTAGAGAAAGAACAGCAAAGAAATAAGGAAGCAAGGAAGGGGAAAGAAGGGCAGTCAGAGAAAAGGAGAAAGATAAATTAGATAAATGAATCATTTATTTTTTTTCTTTTTATATTTATTTTAATTTTTGTTTTTTTACTTTTGTATATTTTTACACCATTTTTCATTTTTGTACAATTATGCATTTTCATCTTGGTTATACTCCCCGTGCAATTCCCAGCACACTTGTTTTGATCCTACTCCTTTCTCCCCCTCCCTGTAGTGTGCCTCTGCTTTATAGTTGCTTGTTGATTTTGATTTTTACTTTATTGTAATTAGTCTTTTTCCTGATCCCTTATTTAGGTTTTCTAAATTATTGCTATGAGTGAGACCACCTGGTATCTTTCTTTTTCTTTCTGGCTTATTTTGCTGAGCATGATCCCTTCCTGCTCCATCCATGTTACTGAAAATTACATGAGTTTATCTTTTTGTTTGCTGAGTAATATTCCATTGTGTATATGTACCACAGCTTCTTGATCCAGTCATCTATTTTTGGGCATTTGGGTTGTTTCCATAGCTTAGCTATTCTAAATAGTGCTGCTATAAACATAGGGGTGCAGGTGCCCTTTTGAATTAATGTTTCTGTGTCTTTTGGGAACATATCTTAGTAGTGGAATTGCTGGATCATATGGAAGCTCCATCTTAGCAGATTGAGGAATCTCCATGCAGCTCTCCATAGTGGTTGGACCATTTTGCACGCCCACCAGCAGTGGAGGAGTGTTCCTTTTTCTCCACATCCTTGCCAACATTTGTTGTTGCTAGTTTTTTTTAATATATGCCATTCTCACTGGTGTGAGATGGTATCTCATTGTAGTTTTGATTTGCATTTCCCTGATTACAAGTGATGTTGAACAATTTTTCATATGCCTGGCCATTTGCATTTCTTCTTTGGAGAAGTTTCTTTTTAGCTCTTCTGCCCATGTTTTGACTTGGTTGTTTACTTTGTTTTTGTTGAGTCTCATCAGTGCTTTGTAGATTTTTCTGATCAGTCCTTTATTATTAGTGTTGTATGCAAAAATTTTCTCCCAGTTAGTGGGGTGTCTCTTTGTCTTGGTTACTGTCTCTTTTGCTATACAGAAGCTCTTTAATTTGATGTAGTCCCAGCTGTTTATCTTTGCCTTCACTATCACTGCTTTGGGTGATGTGTGTTTAAAGATGTTACTGAGGTAAATGTCATGTAGTTTTTTACCTATATTTCATTCTATTTATTTTATAGTCTCAGGTCTTATGTCTAGCTCTTTAATCCATTTTGAGTTGGTTTTTGTGCATGGCATGAGGTAGTAGTCAAGCTTCATTCTTTTGCATGTAGTGACCCAGTATTCCCAGCACCATTTATTGAATAATCTTTCTTTGTTCCATTGCATATTCTTTGCTCCTTTGTCAAAGATTAGTTGACTGTTAATCTGTTGGTTTATTTTTGAATTTTCTATTTGGTTCCATTGGTATGTGTGTCTGTTCTGGTTCCAATACCATGCAGTTTTGATTATTATGGCTTTGTAGTATAGCTTGAAGTATGGGAGTGTGATACCACCATCCCCCCCCCTTTTTTTTTCCCAGGAGACCTTTGGCTATCCTGGGTTTTTGGTGGCTCCATATGAATTTCATCAATATTTGTTCTATTTCTTTGAAGAATGTCATTGAAATTTTTTTTGGAATAGCATTGAATCTGTAAATTGCTTTTGGTAGGATGGCTGTTTTGATAATATCTGCATATTAAATTACTATCCATTTTTGTATGTTGATTTTGAACTTGCTACTTTGCTATATTCATTTATTGTTTCTAAGAACTTTTTGATAGAGTCTTTGGGATTTTCTAAATATAATATATCATCTGTAAGTAGTGATAGTTTCACTTCTTTCCAACTTGAACCCCCTTTGTTTCTTGATTTTGTCTGATATTTCTGACCAAAACCTCTAGTACTAAGTTAAAAAGAAGGGGCGACAGTAGGCATCTTGCTTTGTTCCCATAATGGAAAAGTTATCAGTTTTTCACCATTGAATATAATGTTGGTTGTTAGTTTGTGATATATAGCCTTTATTATATTGAGGTAGATTCCTCCATCCCCATTTTGGTTAGAGTTACTATCATAAAAGGATGCTTGCTTCATGCATTCTGTAGCTAGTGTTAAGTTCATAAACGTAGAGGATTATTATCCTTCCTATAGATTAACCCTTCTGTTATGAAATTATCTGGTTGATTGCTGATTATAGTCTGTGCTCTGAAAACTGCTTTGTCTGCTATTAGCATAACGACATCAGCTCAGCTTCCTTTTTTTGTCAGGGATTAGTGTATGTATTTTTTTCCATGTTTTAACTAATGTGTGCCTTTATTTTCAACGTGCATTTCTTGTAGGTGACATTTAGTTGGACTTGCTTTTTGATTCAGTTTGATCATATGCCTTTACATTGAAGTTTTCATATCATTTTCTTTTAAAGTAATTGTCAATATATACAGTGAGGTTTAATCTGTTATCATGCTGATTGATTTCTGTTTGCCTCACCTGCTCTTTGTTCCCCTTCTTTTGTTTCCTTCTAGAATATCAAGTGATTTGTATGACTTACTTTATTTCTTTATATTAGATAATTAGCTATAACTCCTTTGTTTCACTCTTTTAGTGGTGGTTGTAGCATTTATAGCATATGACTAACTTACCACATTCAAGTAATACTATACAATATCATATATAGTATGACAAAATTACAGCAGTTTACTTTTCTCATGTCCTACACAGATACTACCTGGGCCTGTGGAACTATAGTTTTCATTAAGTTTAGACGTTTGTGGTCATTTTTTTCAAAATACTTTTTTCCTTTCCCCTAACTCTTTGGAGAATTGTATCATGGCCATTTAAAATTTTCTCACAGTTCACCAAGGTCATCCTTACTAGTCTTTTGCGTGTGTATGTGTGTGATGTATAATGTTTATTCCCAACCAGTATATTTGTCATCTCTGAGATTATATTTTTCATTTCTACAAGTGCTATTTATTTGAGGAAAAAAATAGCTTCCATGACTCTACTCTTCTATTTTTTTGTTATTATTCTTATTATTTTTTAGTTAAGTGACTTATAAACAGTTTGATCCTTCATGTTCTTGCTCTTTTTATCTGTTGGGTAAATGCCCGAAGGCTAATTATTTCCCAATACCAAGGCAAGACCTTTCTCACTGCTCTATTCATTATCCTGTTAATTATGAATTTTTCCAAACTAGTTAAAGGAAGCACCACTAATCCGGTGGAGTTTATTCTTTTCAGTTTTTTCTTCTCCACAGTCTCAGGTGGCTTCTTCATATGAATTTACCGCCAGTTATTCTCTTGAATACTCTAGAAGGCCCCTCTGTAGATCTTCAGGGCTCTTTCTTGATTCTGCTCTTTTCTCTTCAGTGATCTGACCTGTGATCTCTATCATATTCTTGGTTTCACCAGACTCCCAATTTCATCACCTCACCTAAGAGTATCTGGTAGACTTCACCTTAGTACCTTCTCCCTGTGTCATGATCTGGAAATTATCTTAAGCTAGTGAGCTGTTGGGGCATTTTCTTTTATTACTTGATGTTCTTTGTCTTGAAAATCATTATTTTTTATTGTATTTTTTTTCTATTTTGCTTTTGCTTGTTTCAGGTAGGAAGGTAAATTGGTACCTGTTACTTCCTCTTGGCTAGAAGCAGATTGCAATAAAACTTCAGCACATGATGTCCCCTACCTAGAGTGGCTTTCTTTCTCCTTTGCTTCCTGCTCCTCCTTCATTCCTCAGGGCAACAGTCTGTTCCTCAGGGACCTCTTCCCTGGGCCTAATCTAGATCAGGTATTGTCATGTGAGCATAGAATTTTGTTTTCTTGTAGTATCTGTATGAATTTAGACTTTACGCTAAACTTTACCTGTCCCTTAAGCTAAATAAGACCCAGTGTTCCCATCTGTTCTATCTACAGAGTTTAGTATATTTTTTTCTACTTTTTAGATACCCAGTATGTATCTGTTTAAGGTATGGATGAGTGATTGAGAAAATGTACCACCCTTTATATGCAAAAAAAGTACTTATATATTTGTTTTTCTCTTGTGTTTTCTCCCTGATTCAGTTTTACTAACGTATCAAACGTATCAAAATCCCAAGACTTAATTTGTCCACATAAAAGATTATGTGAAATTAAAAATAATCACTGTGAACTACTTAAGGAAAAATATAGAAAAATAAAAGCTGAGAATTGTGCACTAAAAAAGGAGATATTAGAAACAAAAGACATAAACTCACAGCTAAAGCAGCAAAATTTGAAACAAGAATACTGCTGGTGCAATTTGAGGTATTGAGCTTTGTGGTTTTAAAGAGATATTTCAACTATTTCGTTAAAAAATACAAATACATAAGAGAAGTTTTGTAATTGCTAACTTGCCTTCTAGGATTTTACAGAGTAGAAACCTTCTTTATTTAGTGCTGTGGAATATAAAATTCTTGGAAGTAGTATAGCAAGTTTTTGATAGTGAATACTTTTGCTAATAATTTACTGTATAGTCTTCCAAATCATACTTTCAATGACCCTATAGAAGTATACCATATGGAATACTGTATTGTAACTATTGCTGCAAGGATTTCCTTTTGTATCAATCTGTATACTGAAGAAAAAAAATCTTTAGTATAGTATTTGGCTGAAGTGCAGCAATGCTAAAATGTCTCTGATCTATATTTCTAAATTGTTTTCACGAGAGTTCATATGAATTTCCATTTCCAACAACACACATGAAATGGCAACTTTTCTGAAGACAGAAGATGTCTTTAAAAATGTAAGACAGAAGATGTCTCTTAAAAATGTATGGTTCATGGGCGATGTGGTGGTGGGAGATTTATGGAGACTACATATGATCAGGGAAATCAAATATTCTCTAAAGATAATCAATAATGTTAAAAAGTAAAAAAGATTAATAAATAAAAATAAAATTACCACAAACAAAAAAATTATGCAGTTTTATTCTTAACCTATGCATGGAATAAAAAGAAAAGTGGAAAGTGATTACTGAATAATGTATTCAACAATTCTCTCCTACTATATCAAATTATTTCAAGGTCTGTGCTAAAAGCACATATTACTTTTTATTATACTTAGTGAATATGGGTTGTCTTGTTCCAAAAGGAGTATGAAAATGATTTCTAAAATACCTAGTGATCAACAAGCTCAGTGGAAAGTTGCAAAAGAAGAAACACAAAAAGAGTAGAGCAACACTTAACAGACTCACTCATCTAGTCTTGGATTATAGTGATCTACAAATGGATATTGTGTGCAAGAAATCTGAAGATGCTGTCTTACACTGTAAATCATTTGTAGTAGTAGCTGTAATATTTTGTGAAGTTGAAATTTTGTTCTAGTGTGTTTGTAAGCTTGTTTAAAAAACAAAAACTTTCCTTTTAAATTTGTAACTAAACTATTCAAAGAGAGTACCAATAACTATGTGGAGCAAAAAGGTTACCTTAACCCTAACGGTACTGTATCATTTCAAATTTTTTTCTCTCTGAAATACTTCCTAAAGTCATACATACCTTTAATATGCTGACTTTATATTGGAACACTTAGGGATCGGCTGCGAAGCGAAGAAGAGCACTACAGGAGTGGCGTTCAAGTGAAGCAGCAGCTGGAGTCCACACTGTCATCAGTAGCTGTGGAACTGAGAGCTCTAAGAAGTGATTTAATGAAGGCAAGTTCCTCCCTGGCAAACTTTTAATATTTCTAACACTTTAATCAAAACTAGTTACAATATCCCATTAATTTGATGTCTGTTGTTCAGGTTGCAAACATTCTAGTCAGATGCTTACGATTGACAATGGTCCAATCAGGCTTGTTGAGGGGGGTGCCTCGAAGGAGATACCAGGCAGAGCAAGAGCCAGCTGGAGTCAGTGTGCAGCCATCCTCTGAAGAGTGAAGGAATCATTGAACCACCTCTGAAGAAGCATTCTGCTGCAAGCTTCAGAAGAAAGAAGGATTCATACTGCTGTTGAAGAGAAAGCTTTCATCAAACCATTTTTGAAGAAGAAAGATTCTGCTCCCAGACTCTGAAGAGAGAGATGCATCAAGCAGTCCATCTCCATGGGACTCACCAGACCTCTGTAGAATGTAAACCTTGTAGACTTTAGACCTCCACACATCCATAGACCTCCACAGAGACCGCTGCTGCCTCTGCCTCAAGCTGGCTCTTGTTCTGCCTTGTATCCCCTTCAGGGGCCTCCACCGTATAAGCCTGATTAGGCCATTTTCAATCCTAAGCACCTGATTGGACCATTTATCACTAATCAGCTCATTTTTCATTTTTCAATCTGAATAATTAATGAAGTAGACTGGAACTTGATTGGTCTTCTTAACTCCCTCCTGACTGGTCCATTTTGCTCACACCTGATTGGTTCAATTTTGACTCCTAGAGCCTGAAACTGAAGGGGGAAAAGTCCAGTCTGATCTGCACTCAGGTCAGGTCAGGCTCGTGGGCTTGTTGGTTCCAGAGAGGCATGGCCAGAGCTAGCCTAACTGGGGTCTGGGAGGGTACCATCCACAGGCAGTGGGCTGAAGCCCCCACAAGTTACCCCAACACAATCACCTTGCCCTGAAGCCTCTGAGGGCTTCAAGATTCCAGTTACAAGACTGCAGATTGAAGCTAAGATCTGTGGTGGTCTCACAGTCTGCAGAGGTCTTGAAAGTGTTGAAGACTATGGAGGTATCAGTGGTCCCTGCAACATTCTACAGAGAGCTGTGGAGTTCTCTGTGAAGGTCTGTGGAAGTCTTGAAGTCCCGATAAATCTGTCTGTGAAGGGTCTGATGAATGGATCTGCTCAGTGCATCAAGTCAGTTGTTGTGCAGGCTTTTATCCTCATCAGGGTCCCCACCTTTCAAACCCCACCTGATTGGCCCATTTAGAATCTTCAATGGGCTCAAAAAATCCTGGAATGGAATTGGTAAGATTGGTCCACCTCAATCCCAGTGTCATATTCAAAAAGTGCAACTGTGGCTGCTTGTCCAGACCTGACAAGCAAGCTCATTGGTGGTGGGCTCTGCAGAACCAGCTTTAGTGGGGCTGGAGGTTTGATGAGTTAGCATGCTTCAGTGGGGCTGGTGAGGTCGTGCATGTGGCTCTGCAGAAGAACTGTTTGATGAGTCTGAGCTGTTGGAGAGCTGGCCACTGCTCAGAGCCTGCCGTGATGGCCATGTGCACAGTCTGTAGGCCTCTTTCCCTCCAGCTCACTCTGGGCCTGGGCGAGCCTCACTGCCAGAGCCCCAGGACCAGCTGGTGAGGGGTAGAGCAAGGAAACCACCATTGCCACTGCAGTTGGGGCCTGCCAGGCTGGGGGCTGAGGGAGCATGGATGAGGTATAGAGTGGGGAAAGGGCTGCCCCCATGTGGCAGCATGCTGAGGCAGAGAGCCCCCAAACCAGCATGCCTTATGGCATTTAGGTGCCATGGGGCTCCTGTGTTCAATCCTCCTTATACAGTTTGCTAAGATTTTTATTGGGAATTTTTGCATCTATGTTCATCAGAAGTATTGTCAGACACAATACTTTGGATGTATCTTTTCTAGTTTTGAGAAAAGTAACTTTTTTTTTTCTCTTTAATAGCAACTATGTCCATATAAGGAGTTTTAGAAATGATATGCCATAATATATACTCAGTGACAATTTATCAATAATTATGTTATTTCCACAAATTCTGCAGTGGTTTTCTATTTCACATTTATTACTATTTTAAACATTTTGAAGAAGAACTAAAACTAATTGCACCAGGGAATAATCTCATGATTTTTAAAGAGAGCATATAAATTTCACCTTATTTACCTTTAGTGCTTTGAAACAGAAGACTTCTTTTGTATCAAAATATTTACTCCAAGGAAGCAGATGCAGTTTGGTACACTAGCGCTAGTAGAGTCAGAAGACCTGGGGAAATCCTGTAGTTTGCCTGTATTTTTAACTTCTCCCTTCCTGAGTTGACATCTAAATGAGTTCATTCATATGTGTAGCTTAGAACTTCAGGCATACTACCATGCCTGGGTTTACCAGTTAACAATAGATTGAATCCTTATAACTGACCTTAAAAATGCTAGAAAAGTACAATATAAATGGAAGCCCAGGGAAAAAGAAAACTTTCAGGAAAATTAATCAGTCCAAAGATATACACTAATCTTTTATGCCTTCTGCATTTGTGTAATTCATAGCTAGTCTCTTTCCCATTCTGAGATTCTTAATTTTCTCATGTTTCCTTTTTATCGTCGTGGACCCAGTCTTCAGGTAATTCCTGAACTTTGGGGCAGTTATGCTTATGTAAATTCTGATGTCAAACTGATTTTTTGTTGGATAGGCTCAGTTGCTATCTTTACATTTATAAGCATATCATTTGCTTTTTAATTTCAGAGAAATTGTAATTTCATTGACTGCTAACAAAATCTGTATTTTACTTAGGCTTCTGAGAGTAATGAAAGAGAGAAAGATCGAGTACATAAAAGCCACACTTTGCAGGATGAAATCAGTATGCTGAAACTGGAAATAAATACAATGAAAAATCAAAACCAGGAAAAAGAAAAGACCATTGAAATTATAAAAGAAATGAATGATTTTCTGCGAAAAACAATACGACGGAGTGAGGAAAGACTTGCAAAAACAATATCCCAATATTGTGAACAACTTCTTGTTCTAAAGAGTGAAAATAACTCGCTGAGCACTCAACTGGAACATGAAAAACAAAAATCAGAAACGCTGAAAGCAGAAGTTGAATCCTGCCGTCGTAGACTGGATGCTGCTGTACAAGATCGTGGTCAAAGTCACAAGTCCGAGAGAGACCTAGAACATCATTTCCAAGAGACAAGAGAGGAGAAGCTACATTTAGAGGAGACATTATCTCAACTACAGAGGGAAAACATGTTGCTTCAACAGCACCTGAATGAGGCTCGCAAAAAAGCTGACAATAAAGAGGAGACGGTAATGAATATGCGAGGCCAGTTTCAGGACACTATAAGAAGGCTTCGAACTGAAAATGAGAAACAAAACGAAACAAACGATGAGTTAATTGATGAATGTAATTGTTTTAAAAAAAGAATATATAATTATGAAAAGAAGAAAGCAGCAAGAGAAGTAAGTATTCTATTCAGAAAGTTATTTTTCAAGCTTCCTGAAGGAAAACTCAAAGTAATAATTGGTTAGGGCTAAAGATTGAATCTAGTGAATGTGAGAAATATATAGATTCTAATCATATTTGCTTTGTCAGCTTAGAACCATCTATTGTGTCCAGTAAATAAAAATTAGGCCTGAGAGGTGCATTACACTATGTAAAGACGTAGAGTCACCTATGAAATTTTAAAAGGGCAAATAATAAGTTGTCAATAGGTACAGACTGATATTAATAACTTAGTCATACTGCTAAAATAAAAATATGAATCTTTAAACCCCAATTTTGTACTATGATGAGGCAGCTAGGTAAAAGTGCTCAATACCTAAAATGAATATTTTGGAATTAATAGTCAAGTAAGTGTATTACCTTGACAGTCAACTCCAGATTTTCCAGATGAACTAAAATGTAGAGGCTGCATCTCATAGAACTTTTCTTTCAGGAGACTTTACTATTTTTTTTTTTTAGTTATTTTAGATAACAGTTGATATAGCTTTATTTTTACTCATGTCAGTTTGAATTGAATTTGAAAATATTTTGGTCTCCAATTATGTGATCTAAAGACCTGCTCAGCACTTTAAAGGCATCTATTTTTCATGAAATTATAATTTGAGACAAATGTTGGTTTCAGCAAATGTACTGTGTTTCAGCAAAATTCTGATTTAATCTTCTTACTGTGATTTATACTTTACTTTGAACACTTTTATAAATAATTTTCTCACAATTCTCATTTCAAGGCTCAATTATTATCATTTGGACCTAGATTATCCAACACTAACAGAATTGGATATCTCTGTGATGTGTTACTTTGGCCTTAGACCCTCATTTTCAGACAAATGAGGGGTGGCAGGATGCATGTGTAGCGGGCAGGGAGTGAGGAGGGAAAATTTGTAAGGGTTGAGGTCAGGAAGGTAGGTGGAGGCAGAGTCCTTAGGGTCTTGAAGGCCATTGGAATGATTTCACTTTTATTCTGAGACAGAAGGATTTGAGCCGAGAATTGAAGTTAATGTAAGGATCTAATACAGAGAGGGAAAATGTTCCCCAGTGTGAAATTTGCCACCACTAGTCTTGCCTCCATCTCCACTTCCCTTTGAGACTTTCAGGGGATTGTCAAGTTTTGCAAATTGGTCAGGGAAGAATGGTTAAGGGGTTGAATCTGTTGTCTAAGCTACATAGCAGTTTAGGCAAGAGGATAACAACTTCTCTTTCTTCAACTGAATTCAGTAAACAGGAAGTTGTATGATAAAGAAGGTCAATGGATGATATTTTTCAAAGTACATATGTTAGCATTGTATATTATTAACATAATAATGTGATATTGATATAAAATCAGGAACAGAAATATCTTATTTAGGTAGCTATGAGAAAATATGATGATTTAAAAGTAGTACCATGCTCTTAGGCTATTCTTAATTTATATTTTTCAATTACCAACTTTTAAAAGGGATTTTGTTATTTGGACTATCAGATTACATGAGTACAGATATTGGAATGATTCAATTTTATTTTTATAATTCACAATAAACTTAGTTGATATTGATAGTTTTAAACTAACTTTCTCACATTTGAAATTTTTTTTTTAATTTTCAAATTTTAAATTAATGTTTGCTTCGAAGAACTGGAGTGTAGGCCAGAGGTGCAATTGGACGGGGCGGGCAGGGGGGTGATGGTTTAAGAGGACATTTGACAGAGTTGGGAGCAGAACAGGTGGATTTACTGAAATACATTGCTAAGGGGAACAGCAGGTGAGACAGGTGAGGTCTGTTGGGGCATGTGTGGGTTATCTTCCTGGCGGGGGATCGAACTCAGGTCACAGTGATAGCACTGAGACTTAACCCCTAGGCCACCAGGGAGGCCCTTCATGATTGAAATTGCTCTCTGAATCACTGACTCAGAAAGATACCTGTATAATTATCCAGATTATAAGCATTAAAATGTATTTTAATTTTCTTTAGGCACAAATAACACCTCAAGACAATTTGAAACTGTTCAGAGGTACTCAGACTACTTCAATAAGTCAAATGGAAGTCAGATATAAAAATTTGGAAACTGAAAATTGCAGACTGCAAACTGAATTAGAGTCACAGAGAATAAAATTGGGAAAATACATGCAGCTCTACCTAGAAGAATCAAAAATGAGACAATCATTGCAAAATAACGTAAACACGTAAGCTGAAAAAACAGGAATCATAGAAAATAAACTTAGTTCATTTATTTACCTCTAAAGCATAATTGTTATAGATCCAGGTTCATGTAATTAGTAAGAAGTCATTATTTGGAAAATAATGTTAATAAGTGAATATTTTTTTTAAGATTCATTTTTTATTTATGCATACAAGAGCTGGGGCACAGGCCAGCGATGTGGGGGGTGAGAAGATCCACCAGAGACAGAGTGGGGAACAGAACAGGCAGAACGACTGAAATACACTGCTAAGGGGAGCTGGGGGCTAGTCAGGAGAGGTCTAATGTGCCATGTGGGTTTCTCCCTGGCCAGCTGGGGATCAAACCCATGCCTCAGAGGCTGTGGGTTGCTTCACAGTGCGATGCCCAAGCCCTTGCGCCACCAGGGAGGCCCAGTGAATATATCTTTAAAATGTTATTCCAGGACAGTTTGAATCTCCTCTCTTTTTTGTTTTTTGTTAAATTAAAGACTGATTTATTTATTTATACAATCACTGGGTATAGTCAGAAGCGCAGGACGGTAAGAGAATTCACCAGAGCCAGAGGGGAGAGCAGAGTAGGCAGACAGACGAAATACACTGCTGAGGGGAGCAGCAGGCAGCAGGAGAGGTCTTCGCACCATGTGGGACCCTAGCCTGGCGGCTGGGGATCAAAGCGACGCTGCAGAGGCTGAGGGCAGCTTCGCAACCCAGCGCTCAACCACTGCGCTACCGCGGGGGAACTGAATCTCCTCTCTTTTGTTGATTTTACATGACTTAATTTTTAGCCCTAAATAATTTCATCTAGTTAACCTGATCTAATAGACTTTAAGATAAGGATATTTGAAACTTTGTAACTTAGTGTTATTGTTATAAAATTGCTTGTCATAATTCCCCCAGTAGAAATATTAATGAGTTTATTTTTTTGAAGATTACAATTTCAATTCAAGTGGTCTTCAAGTATCACTACACTTAGCACAGTTTGGCTACTGGTGAATTAATTTTCTTGACGTGGTCTCTGACACTATTGCTGGAGGGCACCCTGAGACAAACTATCCTTCACAGTTTTAGATTTTCTGCTCTCCAGAAAGGCCTACAAGTGAAATGAGGAAAGCTGCAGGAGGTGAAGGGTAGTATCATTCACAGACTGACTACAAATAAATATTGGGTTCTGCTTCTGCTTGAGAAGGTGTGTGGAAGCCCACATGGGTAGATCTTAACACCAGTGCCTTTGTAACAGTGTTAGGGGCTTTCTTTTCCCTGGAGCTATTAAGTTCTCTTTAGTCACGCACCAGGCACCTCTCCTGTTCTCCCCTAGAAGTTGTTGCTCCAAGTAAATCTTCAGTGCCAAAGGTTTAACTCTCAGAGGTACTGAGTGAAATGTGTAAGGATAGTGAAAGGAAATGCTTGACATTATCCCTCAAGCCGCCTCCATCACTGCCCGCCCTCCCTGCTTTGAATTACTTATTAGGAACCCTCCAGAAACATGGGCTTCTTTACCACAATTTTAAACCCCTAATTATAAACAGTAAGTATGCGCCAACACATTTTGAATGTTAAAACATTGTTTTATGGGAAATTCATGTTATGGCAACATTTGTTTTTAAAGTGCAAATTATTCAGGCCAAAATGAAATATTAAGGATTTGGGTTTGGCAGTCTTCACAGGACCATTGAGAAGCTAACAGAAGTCAATACTGAACGTCTTATGGGGGAAACACATCCCGAACATGTATTCAACGCTCCTCTGAGGCCATGCCTACCGCTATCTTCTGCAACAAGTCCACTCAATAGTCCTAATAATTGTTTCATGCTTGATAGTTTTCTTACTAGACAAAATTCAACAACTTTTCCTACCTTCAACCCACGACCTTAAAATGAAAGCATAGACACTTAACTATGACAAGGTTAGTTATATTACCTTTCTTTTTTTTAAGATTTATTTATTTATTTATACAAGCACTGGGTACAGTCAGAAGTGTGGGAAGGTGAGAGAATTCACCAGAGCCAGAGCAGGGAACAAAACAGGCAGACTGACGAAATACACTGCTGAGGGAAGCAGCAGGTGCGGCAGGAGAGGTCTGTCATGCCATGTGGGACCCTCGCCAGTGGCGGGTGATTTAATCAGTGCTGCAGAGGCTGTGGGCAGCTTCACAGCCCAGTGCTCAACCACTGCGCCACTGGGGAGGCCCTACATTACTTTTTGACAAATTTTATATCACCTTGGGTTTCAAATTTCTGATGCGATATTCATTTATACTTTGACAAAATTCTTAGTCATTCACTAACTTATTTATACATGCTAAGTAAATGTCAGTTACTTGTGCTAATAAAGTAGACATAAAATTTAAAATTATAAGTCCCTGGCTCTCGCATTTTCAGAATCACTGATGTTATTGAATTAGATGTAACTAAATCAACACATTTAAAATTTCTTGAAAATCTGTGTTTAATCAGATGTTAGAAATTAAATATTATTGCTTGATAACCAGAAGTATACTTTGAGATACTTTGGCTTACTTTATGATTGATTTCAGTTTGACTGTGGTTCATAAGAATTTTAAAGTTTCTCTGTACATTACCTGCCTCATTTTTCCACCATGTGCTAAGTTTATGACTGACATCCAAACAGATGTTTATCATTTACAGTAACTCCTCTTTATGAATTAAGCATAAATTAATTACTAAAAATTAATTTCCATTGTCACTATCTTATATACCCTGCTGAGGGGAGCAGATGGTGAGTCAGGAGAGGTGTGCCACAACATGTGGGTAGCTCCCTGGCTGGGGTTCAAACTCGTGCTGCAGTGGCTGCGGATGGCTTCATAGGTTGCATCTTAACTCCTTATGCCAACCAGGGAAGCCCTGACAAAGTATTTTCGATAAAGAATGCAATTCTTTGTTTTTCTTTCCAGCTGCTGCTGAAGTTGAATCTGGATCATATTGAGCTTTTGTAGGAATTTACAGATACATCTCATGAAATCAAGATGCACTTTTGAGGTCAAGGACCAGGAAAGTGCATGCCACACAACTTCCAGAGCAAAGGGAATATATAAAGTGAAGGGTGAAGAACTAGGCCAATAATTTAATAAACCATAGATATGAAGATGGCAGCGCCAATTGAAACAGACACTTTGGTCACTTCGTGAATCTTCTGAGCCCTACAGAATTCCATTAAGAAGAGTCAGCTCTCAAGTCTTCTTTCTAGAAGGTGAGATAGGAATTTGGTCTGTCCTTTTCAATCAAATGTTCTATCCCAAATCAGCCATGACTCTCCAAAATCTTAATAAGAATCCTATATAAGCGGGAACCCACCGCCAGGGCTGACCAGGCGTGCAGGGAGTGCGTCCACGCATTGCCACTTTAGAACAGGGACATTTCTTCAGTAAAGACTGCTTGAAACCGGGAGAAGGCTTCCAGAGGAGCCAGAGGTGAGCTGGGAAGTTCGCCCAAACCAGGCCCCTTCTGGCCTGCAGTCCAAGCCCAGAGGGGGAGCGGGAACCACTGCCAGGGCAGACAGGGCGCGCAGGGAGTATGTCCCCGCATCGCCACTTTAGAAAAGGGACATTTCTTCAGTAAAAATTGCTTGAAACCGGCAGAAGGCTTCTGGAGGAACCAGAGGTGAGCTGGGAAGTTGCCCATGCCAGGCCCATTCGATCCTGCAGTCCCAGCCCAGAGGGGGCAGCAGAGGAGTGTGAACCCGCATTGCCTTTTTAGAACAGGGACCTTTCTTCAGTAAAACCTGCTTGAAACCGGCAGATGGCTCTTCGAAGAGCCAGAGGTGAGCTGGGAAGTTCGCCCAAGATGCTGGCCAGTACCAGCAACACAGTATCCCAATGCATACAGCAAATTAGAAAACAGACAGTAGGGCCTCCCTGGTGGCGCAGTGGTTGAGCGCTGGGTTGTGAAGCTGCCCGCGGCCTCTGCGGCGCAGGTTCAATCCCCGGCTGCTCCCCGCCCACTGGAGGAGGGTCCCACATGGCGCACAGACCTCTCCTGCCGCCCGCTGCTCCCCTCAGCAGTGTACTTCAGTTTCTGCCTGCTCTGCTCCCTGCTCTGGCTCTGGTAAATTCTCTCACCCTCCCGCGCTTCTGACTGTACCCAGTGCTTGTATAAACAAACAAACAAATAAATAAAACATGCCTTTTTTTTTTAAAAAAAAAAAAAAGGAAAACAGACAGTAGGGAGTAGAAAAACCACACGCAACCCAGCAACTCCTCAGGAAAAAAGCACACCACAAAAAGAAAACCACCCCCCAGATTACAACGACCGTAACTTGGAAGAACTTCTGAGTCTTCCAGAAAGAGAATTTAAAATTGCCATGATTAAAAAACTGACAGAAATCATAAAAGAAAACAATGATAAGGGAAAAATAATCAATGATCAGAAGAATGAAATTGAGTCCCTAGAGAGGGAAGTAAAAGAAATGCAGATCAAAGAATTAATGGAGGTGCTAAAGAACTGGAAAAACAATGAAAGCAGAATAGATGAAATGGAAGAACGAATATGTACTCTTGAAGACACAGAAATAAAAAGAACCAAAACAGAAAAGGAAAGAGAAGTACAAAGAAAAAAGACCGAAGAAAGACTTCAGGAACTATCTGACTCCATGAGGAAAGGAAATATAAGAGTTATAGGAATCCCAGAAGGAGAGGAGAGAGATGTAGGAACAGAGAAAATATTCCAGGAGATAATTGAAGAGAACTTCCCAAGCATGAAGAAGGAGCTGAAAATTGATATACAAGAAGCAAGAAGAACACCAAACTTCTACGACGAAAGGAAAAATACAGCAAGACACATAATAGTAAAGCTCCCAAGAATCCAGGACAAGGAAAAAATAATGAAGCTGACAAGAGGGAAGAAACAGGTAACATTCAAAGGAAAACCAATCAGACTGACATCAGACTTCTCCAAAGAAACACTACGGGCAAGGAGAGAGTGGAGGGACATAGTCAATAGACTCCAAGAAAACAGATGCCAACCAAGAATACTCTATCGTGCAAAGCTCTCCTTCCTCTGTGAAGAAAGAATAAGGACCGTCCCAGACAAACAGAAACTCTGGAATTTCATTACGACTAAACCCCCACTCCAAAAAATACTACAAGGAGTCCTAAAGCCAGAACCTCAGAGAGATGAATAACAACTAAAGAAGGCCAAAAAAATAGTTATTAAAAGAATAAATAAAATCAAAGGAAAGACAAACACAATGGCAAATACAGATGCTAACATCATTATTAACTCTAAATGTAAATGGACTAAACTCTTCAATAAAAAGACACAGAGTTGTAGGCTGGATTAAGAAAAAAAATCCAACCTTTGCTGTCTCCAGGAAACACATTTAGCTACAAAAGATAAAAATAGACTCAAAGTTAAAGGATGGAAAGCAATCCTACAAGCATATGGACCAACAAAGAAAGCAGGAACAGCTATACTTTTATCAGATAAAACAGATTTCAAACTCAAAAAGATAAAAAGAGACCCTAATGGTCACTACATTATAATCAAGGGGACAATACTTCAAGAAGAAATAACACTCATTAACATATACTCACCAAACGAAGGAGCACCAAAATATATTAGACAACTATTGTCATCTCTGAAAACAGACATCAGAGAAAACACATATGTAGTGGGGGACTTTAACACACCACTATCAACAATGGATAGATCAATAAGACAAAAAATAAGTAAAGACACTAAAGCTCTAAATAAGGATCTAGAGCGCTTGGGCTTAACAGACATCTATAGAACACTAAACCCAAAAAAATCTGAGTACATATATTTCTCAAGCTCACACGGATCATTCTCCAGGATCGATCACATACTGGGACACAATACAAACATCAACAGATACACCAAGATTGAAATCATTCTAACCATCTTTTCTGGCCATGAAGGCATCAAACTAGAAATAAACCATAAAAAGAAGGCAAGGAACTCTCCTACCTCATGGAGATTGAAAACCACACTTCTGGAAGACCACAGGACTAACGAGGAGATCAAAGAAGAAATTAAAAAATTCTTTGAGTTGAATGACAAGGAGGACACCAATTTCCTAAATGTATGGGATGCAGCAAAAGCAGTAATAAGAGGAAAATATATAGCAATAGAGGCTCACATCAAGAAATAAGAAAGAACTCAAAGAAACAACCTAATCTCGAAGCTCAAAGATCTAGAAAAGGAACAATAAAAAAAAAAACCCAAAACCAGTAGAAGAAAAGAAATAATAAAAACCAAAGCAGAAATAAATGAAATTGAAACTAAAAAAACAATCCAAAAGATCAATGAAACCATGAGCTGGTTCTTCAAAAAAATCAATAAAATAGACAAACCCCTAGCCAAGGAAAAAAGAGAAAGCACAATAAACAGGATCTTTCATTTATGATCCTATTCATTTGTGCTTTCTCCCAACAGACACACCAGAATTCAAATATTTCAGTAACTACTATGAACAGTTATATGGAAAAAAGTTCAACAATCTAGAGGAGATGGACAAATTCCTACAACTCTACAATCACCCAAAGCTAGATAAAGAAGAAATAGAACACATAAACAGACCAATTACAAGCAGTGAAATTGAAATGGTAATCAAAAATCTCCCCAAAAACAAAAGCCCAGGACCTGATGGATTTACAAATGAATTCTACCAAACATTCAGAGACGAATTAGTGCCTATCCTTCACAAACTCTTCCAAAAATTTGAGAAGGAAAGGATAATACCAAACACGTTATATGAAGCCAAAATTACACTAATACCAAAACCAAACAAGGACAACACAAAAAAAGAAAACTACAGGCCAATCTCCCTAATGAACACTGATGCAAAAATCCTCAACAAAATCCTTGTCAACAGAATCCAACAATGCATCCATAAGATAATTCACCACGACCAAGTAGGATTCATTCCAGGAACACAAGAATGGTTCAACATCCAAAAATCAATCGACGTTATCCAACACATCAACAAAAAGAAATATAAAAAACATATGATGATATTAATAGATGCTGAGAAAGCTTTCGACAAAGTGCAACACTCATTCATGAGAAAAGCCCTTAAAATTCTTGGGATACAAGGAATATACCTCAACACCATAAAGGCCATATATGACAAGCCAACAGCCAGTATCATTCTCAATGGTGAAAAGCTGAAAGCATTCCCATTAAGATATGGAACAAGACAAGGATGTCCACTCTCACCACTGCTTTTCAATACAATACTGGAAGTCCTAGCCAGAGCAATAAGACAAGAGAAAGACATACAAAGAATCCAAATAGGAAAAGAAGAAGTCAAACTATCACTATTTGCAGATGAATGATAATATACATAGAGAACCCCAAAAACTCCACAGAAAAACTAATTCAACTCATCAATCAGTTCAGTAAAGTGGCAGGATACAAAATCAACGCGCAAAAGTCAGTAGCCTTCCTATACACAAAAAATAAATCTGAAGAAGATGAAATAAAAAAAAAAAAATCCCTTTTATTATCAAAACAAAAGAAAAATCAAATACTTGGGAATAAATCTAACAAAAGAGGTAAAGGACCTATACAAAGAAAACTATAAAACACTGTTAAAAGAAATAGAAGAAGACACAAAGAAATGGAAAGACATCCCCTTCTCATGGATTGGAAGAATAAACATTATTAAAATGGCCATCATACCCAAAGCAATATACAGATTCAGTGCTATTCCAATAAAAATTTCAATGCCATTCTTCAAAGAAATAGAACAATTATTGATGAAATTCGTATGGAATCACAAAAAACCCCGAAGAGAGAGACAAAGCTCTCCTGAAAAAAAAAAAAAAAAAAAAGAAGGGACTGGAGGCATCACACTCCCAGACTTCAAACTATACTACAAAGCCATAGTCATCAAAAATGCATGGTATTGGAACAAGAACAGACACACAGACCAATGGAATCAAATAGAAAATCCAGAAATAAACCCACAGACTTATGGTCAACTAATCTTTGACAAAGGAGCAAAGAATATACATTGGAGCAAAGAAAATTTGTTCAATAAATGGTGCTGGGAAAACTGGGTCGCTACATGCAAAAGAATGAAGCTTGACTACTACCTCACAGCATACATAAAAACCAACTCAAAATAGATTAAAGAACTAGACATAAGACCTGAAACCATAAAATACATAGAAGGAAATATAGGCGAAACACTACGTGATTTGCACATCAAAGACATCTTTACAGACA